CCCCATTGTTCCTGACTCTCCAAACACTTGGGGACCCCTCTCATCGTTCTATTGCACCCTGAACATGTCCCTACAAGCCTTCCTTCAGCTCCCATTCTGTGATCTGACTGTGAGCTGAAAGAGATAAAAAAGCTTCTGATGGATAGTTTATGTCTCCAGCATCTCAAATGGTATCTGATATAAGTAAACGCCATGGAATGAATCTGAGAAAGAATGTTTCTGATTAATATTAGAAACAGCACCAGTCGAAGAGTCAGGAGTTTCTGACTAATTGATTATGATTATTCACTTACCCTTTAAAGCTTGTATTTACTAATCTGTTAATTTGGGGGTAGGAGAGGAGAGAAAAGATCGCACTAATGTTGAGTCCATTCTGACTCTGAGACCCTTCCATCAATGGAGTATTCAAGACAAAAAATCTTTACTGGAAAAGTCTCCCTATTGTTCCCTTTATGAGCAGCTCATGTATTTGAGCCAACATTTCAACTGGAAGCTCAATACAAAACACATTATGTCCCAGGGAGCCAACTTGCAAACAGCGTATGTCAAGAGTTCTGGTAAGAATTCAACTGCTAACCCACATGTTGGCGATTCAAACTATCAGTCACTCAGCCAGACAAAAAAGATGATGCAGTGCTTCCCCTCTGACCTAGAGCAATTGATTCAGTGCTTATCTGCACGCTTGGGGCTTAATGGTAAGGAGCTGTGCTGAGAACCCAAAAAGGCAGGTAGCCTGGATCCATGAGCTGCTCCGCAAGAGACGGACAATCTCTGACCTTGTGATTTAATGCTTCTGAAAACCTGCTGTAGGGTCAATTACGAGTCAGTTCCAACTCGACAGCAATGAACATGAACATTTAAAAAAAGGTTAAAATCATGTTAGATTACAAGAAGAAACATAAAGTGAGCAAATTTGTTAGACAAGATTGCTAATTTGTTAGAAAAGTGCCTTTTGTTTCTTCCTAAACAATTTCTTTTCCTGAAGGGAAAAAAGGTCAAGTTGTAGTTTGAAAGAACATTTAAATTCTAATTCTGATTGTCGTTTGCATAGAACTGATCAACCGTTTTCCCAGGAGCCTCCATTTCAGTTTTCCCTAACAGTAAAGATGTATTAAGAATACATCTATACATAGAAAAACAAAATTCTTTATTATCAAAAGCACTCAAAAGATATAAAGTCCTATGATAAAGGTAATAAATACCCTAAAAGACTCAGGATTCAAAACCCAGATAATATTTGCAAAATCTTCTCACTTTATCCGTCTTTCTTGTTCCACTGTTGTTCCAGATAATAACTAGAAGTCTCTTCCTTTAAATTTCAGCTCCAATAAATCCAAACAGTGTACACTGGTTTTGATGAACCAAAGCAGTTAATTTTATAACTTGTGCCAAGAGTGGTCACTTCCTTCCCTCTTCTAAGCAAAGTACGTTATTAATCTAAAATTAATTATTTAGACATGTACAAATTTTATTTCTCTAGTTACTTCTTGAAAACAAGGAAAACCTAGACAGGAACTCTACTGAATGGGTCATTTATACTTTGTATCTATTCTAATCCTCTTATCTATTCTAATACACATATGTAAACTCCATCCTGAGAGGTTATTGAACTGGAAAGAGATTATACACAGCATCTGATCTAGCTTTCAAGAGAAAATCAAGGCCTAAAGAGGGAAGTGAATTATAATGAGAGTGGATAAGGTCTATCTATTCTTTTTCCTAGTATTTAGAAAAAGAATGCTTCTACTTTTCATTTACCTAAATAAAATTTAACCAAGTGGTGAGAAAACAAGGGTTACTAAATAAACTTGATTAAAGGAAAAAATAACTACTAAATAGGGTTTAATAGCTCCATCTATACTTATACAGAACCATGCAGGTAGACAATTCTTTTATGAGCCTTAAAATAAATTTTAAGAAATTTAAAAAAAGTCTGATTTCCTCCAAATACCTTTTCTCTTATATTGGCCTAGCGGGTAAGGAGTTGCCCCGCCAACTCAACCGGGGGCTGCTGGAAACTACTAGCTGCTCTGGAGAAGAAAGGTGGCCCATCTCCTCCCATTGCAAGGTCAACAATGAGAAGGTTCTGGCTAGAGGACACATAACAACAAGGCAAGCACTGAGCATTTTAGCTCTATTTTACCCCTATGCACCATAGTTAAAGTGCTTGGATGCAAATTGAAAGGATATAGGTTAGAACCCACCGGTGACTCCTTGGGAGAAAGATGTGACAATCAGCTTCCACAAAAATTTTAGAAAAGCAATTCCACTCAAACCCATTGCCAATGAGTCAGCACTGATTCACAGCTGACCCTCCAACTAGTTTTCAGTCTTTAAAGGAGGCTGCCTTTCTTTGTCCTGCAGAGTAGCCGGTAGATCCAAACCCCCATTTTTGGCTGGCAGTGCAAGTCCTCATCACTAGGGAACGGGATCCCCCTTCCACAAAGATTACAACCTTGGAAACCTCGTGGGCAGTTGTACCCTATCCTACAGGGTTGCTATGAGTCCAGAATAGACCATGAATGTGGGTTTCCATTTTAGTCACCCCTGCTCACATCATCTGGACTCATGTCTTATAAAAATAAAAGGTCTGATCTGTGCACCAACACCACCTACCCTCACCCTCAACCGAAACTCCAAGCAGTCTTGTAGGTGGGTTTGAAAAGGTTATGAGACAATGCCCCTTTTTTAGCTAATACTCTGTAAGTATTTGGCAGCTTTCCTTCTTGTACTCACACACACACACACACACACACACACACACACACCTCTATCTAATAAATTTCTAGCATTTTTAATTTCTAGCAAATTTCAATCTCTGCTATCCTCACTTGAAATTAATATGAGATTAAAATAAATAGAAGTAATTGTTATGTTACCCTGGATCCTATAACATAAAAGATATCATATTAGATCAGTCTGTTATTTCTTATTAAGTACCGTCAAGTTGGAACCATCTTCCTAGCTAATCTTCCAGCGGATTTTCAGAGGCATTAAATCACACTGGAAGAGATTGCCCATCTTTTTCCACAGGGCAGCTGGTGCATTCAAACTGTGTGTCTTTGCACTGACAACACAATTCCTTACCACTATGTCACCAGAGCTCCCTAACAGGAAGCCCTAGGAATAAGGGGGGGGGGGAAATGAAAGCTAATGTCAAGTGAAGAATTTCAACTATCTGGGCTACAAAGATTTGTGTCCCAGTATAGGAAAGTTAGCTTCCTCAGCAAATACACCTTATACATCTTTGCTTCCATTTCTACAAAGTCTACCTGATCTTTCCTGTAAACCTGTATCCAGACTGGAAAAGGTCCATTCTTTGCCAGAGGTGAGCTTACCGTGAGTTCAAAAGCTCTGAGAGCCTGCACCCCACTTTCTCCACCTGCGCGGCCACAGAGCTGCTGGGCAACTTGCCAGAAAGGACAGTGCAATGGGCGAGCCTGGAGCGGAGCCATCTGTCCTGCCTTTCACCAACCCCCGGTGTAAGAAGAGAACAACGCAACGCCGTGGTGGTTTGAAACTGGCGATTGCACTCTGCTGTTTTATTTCGGGTTACTGTGTTTATTTTCTTCTCGGAAGAGCCCAATTCGGTCTCTGCCTCCGGCATCCTGCCATGGACACATTACTCCTCCCACAGGTCCTCCCTCAGCAAATCGCCTACACTCATTTCACCCACAGGCTTCTAAACAAAGAGCAGTAACCTTGGAGTGTGCTGAGCAGGAGGAGCCTGGTATGGGGTTAACCGGGCTGGAGGTGTGAGCTTGGCTCCACCTGTAGGGTTCATGAAGCTAGCGCGCCCAGCGTTATCCTCTTCACAACTGTGCCCCCAAAGCCTTCCATGTCCTGCAGCCCTGGGCTCCTATGTGCAGACACAAGGTGGGACGCTTTCATGCACTCCTGCTTAATCTGCACTACATCGTTTGTGATATGACCACTTTGAGTCAAGTTCCTACTGTCTAGCTTTTACTAGGAAGAGACTTTTCCAACCCAAAGTAGCCGCTAGCCACAGAAACAAAAATTGCCAGACTCACCCCACCAAGAGAAAGCAAAAAGAATATTGATTTACAGTCTTCAACGGAGTCTCCTGTCAAGAACTTCCTTAAAGGTGGAAAAGAAATAATATTAAATGAAGAGGGTGCATAGAATAAAGTAAAGAGATGGCAAAATAAGAAGAGTATCTTAATTAGGTAGGAAAAATACTGTAACAAGAATCTCCCGATACATAGCGTATTGGACAAACAGGGAAAAATACCAAGTGATGTCTTTATATTGTATTTGATAAAGACAGAAGTGTTAGAAACATTATTTGATTTGACTGTTGGGGGTGAATGTTTGATCATATGTACACACACCGAGAGCCCTTGCTATTTAAAATGTACAAGTTAGCTAGTTCAAAGAATTTAATACTGATATTTTAAGCATTATTTTTTGGATATAACAACAACAACAACAACAAAACTCCTTTTGTGTATTTGGAGTCTACTTATATACTAGGAAAGTAGAAATAGTCCTTTAATTTGCTTTTCCTATTAATTCCTGGATCAGACATACTCGAAACAAGGCGGGAAAACTAAGCATATCAGTCATTCAAAGCCTTCAAAATTGAGCTAAAAAAGGAACATCAGGATCCTTGAATTGTAAAGAAAAAGAGAATAAACCCAGAGATAATAAACCTTAAGTGTCCCTGCCCTTCCTCCACTCTGCCTGGCCACCACCACCACCAAAATTTAAAATAATAATAATAACAATAAATAAATAAATAAATAAAATAAAAAGGGGAAGGAAAGGAGAGGCAGATGGTATTTGACCACACTTTATAATTACTTTACAATTGCTGAGGGGGTGAAGGGGAAAAAAAAGCCCTTCTAACAATTTTGGCAAATACTTCTAACAATTTTGGTATCAGATCATTTGCAGCTGGCGTCACATCATTTGACCATTTGCAGCTGCCATCAGCAGGAGCTGGAGGAGGAGGGGAAATGCCTCATGGTGCATCTTACCTGAAGAGTGTAGTAGTGCAGACAGACGTAGGTGAGGCAGAACAGCAGCCCCAGCCCCTGAATCACCAAGGCCACCAGCAATGACTTGTTCCTCCTAAATCTAAGCCATGGCCCCTTTCCCACATTCTCGTCCTGGGATTCTGCCCTTTCCATCCTCACAATCTGGAGACAGGAAAGATGAAAGTTGCAGCAAGGAGAACCCAGGGGAGGACTGCCCTCTTCCCCACAATAGAAGAGGTAAAGGCAAAACAGAGAGTAGCAATCAGAAAATGTACAGATGTCCCAGGACCAGAGATAAAAGGCAATTGAAAGAGCAAAGCGGACTCTTCTCAGTTTTAACGCTTCAGCTTTTGCAGGCAGGCGGGGGAACTTCTTTGTGACTAATCTAAATTTCCCCTTTACTTTCTTTCTTTTCTTTTTTTTTTTTTCCTCTGGGCTAACAGGGAGTTGTTTTTGTGGCATTCCAGTTCAGATTTGAGTGAATGTGAAATGACAGTCATAAAAGTGTGCTATTTTCTTAATTTCTCATTGTGCCTATTACCAAATTGTGGGTCACTTGCAAAGATAAAAATCATCATCCGTTGACTACCATCCAGAGTTGAATCCGACTCTGTTCAAACATCAAACCTCCACCAGTTTTCAAGACCATAAATCTTAAGGGGAGAAAACTGTCATCTTTCTCCCCCTGAGCAGCTGGTAGATTTGATTCTCTGACACTCTAGACATTTTAGTTAGCAGTGCCATATGCTCCGGACTAACCTCCTTAAAGACCTTTCTCTTAGGGTTGCCAAGGGTGTAAATCTTTGGTAAGGAGACTGCCTTGTCTTTCTCCTGCAGAGTGGCTGTTAGATTCAAACCATCAGCCTTCTAGCTTTCACCACAAGAGATTTAAGGAAAATGCTGACCTAGTTTCTTGCTTACATTTCATTAAGGAATGAAGCATTGGACTTAACTTACTCATATTCAGAACATAAAGCACGCTCACACCAATCTTGAAGTGAAGAATAGCAAAACAGAAAAAAATGGGATAGTGAATTTGCCCATGACATGGTAATGAGTAATCAGAGTATTTACTGAATGTCTACTACTACTTGGCAGGCATGGAGCTAGAGGAACTTGAATTTTTTTTTAATTTTTTTTTCTCATTGAATTCTTAGAGGCAAATTCAGTCACCATTTACATTTACATTATGAGATTTAAGCTAACCAGAATAGAAAACAAACAAACAAACAAAAGAAATCTGTTCTTATTTTTTTCTCTGTTCTTGTATTTTACCTTTTCCACCTCCCCATGCTTTACTATGCCTGAATGAACATGTAGTGTTATTGATGTTGTTCTTGTTGTTATTGTTGTCATGTGCCTTCAAGTCACCTGCAATTTATAACAACCTATGTACAATAGCTCTGAACCCTGCTTTGTCTTGAGCTAATTTTATTGTCTCTGACACAGGCTCAGCCTCTGATGCCATATCGGTTAGTCTAATCTAAGTGTGCTCTGTTGTACATAGGGCTTTTTTTTGAAAGCCTGATATTTTGCAAGTGGGTGGCCAATCCTTCTCTCTAGTCTGTCTTAATTTGGGTGCTCAGCTTTAAGAGTAATATTTGCTAGACAAGCATTTTACCCAAAAGAGCTGATGAGAGTATTCAGGTACCAAAAATATGGAATGCTTCACAAATAGATTCAAATAAGCCTTTCAGATAGTTGCATTCACTTGAAGCCAAAGCTGGATTTGTTGTTGTTATGTGCTGTGGAGTCATCTGCAATTCACAGCAACTCTATGTACAACAGCTCTGAAGCTTGTCCTGACATGAGCCAGTCTCATTGACTCTGACACACCCATCCCCATTGTCCTAGTCGCTGTGCCAAGCCATCTCATCCGGGGTCGTCCTCTCCTGCACTGTCCCTCCACACTTTTGAGCATAATATCCTTCTCCAAGGACTGGTCCCTCCTGGCCACATGCCCAAAATACGTGAGACTAAGTTAAAAATCCTAGCCTTCAAGGAAAAACTTGGTTTCACCTTCTCAAAGCAGACTTATTTGTTTTCTTGGCAGTCTAAGGCATGTTCAAGACTTTTCTCCAGCACCAGAACTCAAAAGCATCAATTCTTCCGTCATCCTTAGTCATTTTCCAGTTCTCTGATGCATCACAAGTAATTGCAAAGATCATAGCGTGATCAGGTGCACCTTAGTCTCTAGACTGAATCCTTTGCTTCTTAGTACTCTGGAGAGGTCCCTGACAGCAGATTTTCCCAGTGCAGTTCATCTTTTGATTTCCTAACTGCTGGTGCCAGGTTGATTGTGGAGCTGAGCAAGTTATAATTGTTAACAACTTCAATCTCTTCTCCATCTATCATGGTGCTGCCAATTGGCCCAATGGTGAGAATCTTTGTCTTCTTGATGTTGAGCTTCAATCCATATTGAAAACTACAGTCCTTGACCTAAAGCAAGCACATTAGGTCCTCCTCAGTTTCAGCAAGCAAGGTTATGTCATTTGCATAACATAGGTTGATTGATGAGTCTTCCACCAATCCTGATGCTACATTCCTCTTCATAAAAGTCAGCCTCCCAAATGATTTATTCTGCATATAGATTTGAAAAGGTATGGGGAAAGGATGCATCCTTGATGTACTCCTTTCTGGTTTTGAATCATGAGGACTGCTTCCTGGTCTAACCACAGGTGTCACATAAGCACAATCTTTGCAAACCAAGGTATGATACTACCTTTGTTAAGAACTGTGTAGTAAAACCAACTCAATAGTTGACCCTCGAGCAGGTCTTCAGAGGCAGTGTCTCACTCGTGGATTTGAACCTCATGCTTTTGGGTCAGCAGTGCAACTCCATACCACTAAGCCACCAAAAGAGAGGTAACTTTCCCTATATTATGTAAATAAAGATGGCTCTGGTTGCCTAACAGTAAGAAGCTGCACTGCAATCTCAAAAGTTGTCAGTTTGAATCCACCAGCATGATCACCTCCCATGTAATTAATTGCCTCTGAAAACCTACTGGAGGGTCAGAAATGAATCAATTCTGACTCGACAGCACACCACAACAACAGTAATGAACTATTAGGAAACCTGGTGGCATAATGGATTAAATTCTGAAGTGCTAAATGATAGGCTAACAGTTCAAACAGACTAACCAGAGAGATGAGACAATCTGCTTCCGTTGAGATTTACAGTCACAGAAACCTGACAGAGCATTGCTGTGAGTCAGAAACTACTGGATAGTGGTGAGGATTTTTAGGATTTTATAGTGAAATTATTTTAAAACGCACATTCAAAATTCCAAATATTTAGAGTCCCCAGTACGAGCCCAGCACTGCATGGCAAAAGAATGCTGGGAAGGAACTGTTTAAGATAGGATCAATTCCTCTTCTTGGGTACAGACATGCCCCAGGCTCTCCACTGAAGAAATATCTGAAGAAAGACAGGGAAGTACACATCTTGATATCCAGAATATGAGATATGAACTAAATTATGCAAAAGATAGGAGGCATATTTAAAAGAAACAACTTGTAGAAGATAGATATTATACTTACTTTTACTGCACTGTTCTTGTTGTTATGTGTCGTCGAGTTGCTTGCACCTCATAGCAACACTATGTACAACAGCCCTAAACCTTGCTCTGTCTTGTGCCAATCGCATTGCCTCTGACATACCCATCCCGATTACCCCAGTCACTGAATCAATCC